ATTCCATGGTCTTTGAGTTGAATGACTTTGCAGGAAGCAATCATGAAGCATCAAGCCTATTCAGCAACAGTTTTCCTGAACTGATAGTCAAGCAGGATGAAAAAGACTGTCACCCCTTAAGCTATCAAATTATAGCAGGTTAATCACCAAGATACCATTTCTGGACTTGGGGGTGGTGGTGATAGGGGAATAGAATTGGTGGCTAGATTGTTCAGAAATATGAAAGAGAAAGAGAGAGTGAGAGAAAGAGCAAGTACTCAGAGAGAGGGAAAGAAAAAGGGGGATTCCGTTGCTACTTAAACATAGTTTATTATTTGGGGTCATACTCCATGAAACAAAAGAGAAAGTATTTTGTGGAAACGAGGACCACTCACCTCATTAACTCAGGGTTACTTATCATACCTACACACACAAAGGGACATGCATGACCAGCCCCATTTTGAGAAATCGAGCAAAAGAGTAGAAACAAGTGATAGAAACAGATTTGATAGTAGTCTTCAACTTATTGTTATATTGCTGTCCCATCAGTAAACAATATTTAATACACACCCATACATATGGATATACTAATACACTGGGTCTGAAAAAAATAGCTACAAATATACTTTTAAGAGGATGATTATAACTGTTCCTAATTTGGAGACCTACTTTAGGATCTCAGATCAACAGCACGCATGAGGGACCTCACAGTCCACTAGATGGCACTCTATGACATATACAGAACCATAGTGGCTATCTACTTAGACACTGTACCATGAAAATTGTGGTAAAGATATCTTTTCACCCCATAAATGTAAGTACCAGATCCATTTACCAGGAATTTGGGGAATGAGATCTAGTTAGCCATCTGCCCTTGTCTATAACTAAGTCTTTCCCAGTTTTCTTGCCCAAATTGCCTTCACATTTTAACCCTGAACAGAACTGCCAGTCCTATATATGAGTAAATGGTATCCCCTGGGCCCCAGATAAGGTGTCCAGTGAGGAGCATTGGAGTTGAAGGGCAACCCCACTCCCTGGCAGTGGGCTGAGAGCGACAAGGTTTATACACAGAAAAATGAGCAATTGAGCCCAACTTGGGAGCTCAAGATTGTGTTGCTGGAGTATTTCCTGTTTTAAAAATCTCTCGTATCCCAAAGGAAAATGGAGTGCTTCCCAAACTGCTCTGCAGGTGAGCTCTTTCTGAAGTCCCTAGGCGAGTTTCAGAAATGCATATTTCTGGCTCCCAGAGATCAGAATCTCTAGTGTGGAGCCTGGAAGCCACACGTTTTCCGAGCTTCTTAGGTGACTCCAGCCCCTTATATAATTACAGAACCAACTGGCCCAGTTGGACAGGGCTGTATCTATTTTGGGGTGGGGCCAGCTTCTTCCTCTGTAACCTTGGCACAGTTTCTTAACCTCTCTAACCCACCTTCACCTCTGAGTTAACCCATTATCTTTAAGATGCAGCTAATAATACCAGTCTTGTAGATGTGATGTGAAGTTAACGGAATGAATGAAGCATTTCATTTGCATCTGCTGCTTAATAAACGGGACTTCCTTCCTCTTTCCCTTTCAGCCCCCACTCAGTAAAGTTGTTGGGGTACCAGTGACTTTGGTTTGCACCCTTCTTCCTGAAATCCTCTTCACTTTCTCCTTGGTTCCCATTCCCTTCGTGGGCCCACTCTCATGAATAGGAACCAAGGTTGAGATTATTTTAAAATGCTTCCTCTCTGTTCAGAACGTGCTTCCTGTTGCCTTCTCTGGAGAGCTGATCATCTCACAAATTAATCTTATCGTGTTGTGTTAATGGGCAGGGGTAATGTGTTAAAAGTAATCCCAGGCAGGTTATAAATTAAGTAGGGACTTCAGGTAGGATGACTCAGTCTGAAAGCAATTGCACTGTGCCAACTGCAGGTCTCAAAGTGAGAGATGGGAGCTAGAAACTGTTTTATGTAATGCATGTTACCAGGTAACTAAGTCCTGCATGGTGGGCCTCCATTTCAACCTTGTCTAGAGATGCCTTTCACCATCTGCCTGACTGCAGTCAAGACCTGACTCCCCAAATAGTTTAAGCCATCTTCTCAGCACTGTGGTCCCACTGGACACTGAAGCGAATGCTACTACAAAGTTTTACTCGACTCGTGCAGTTTATTGTTATGAAAGTTCCTGAAATCTGCACCATCACATCTCCCCAGCCAGTGAGAAGGCAAGCAGTTACGTGTACCCTACAAGAGCATGGTGACATCCTAGTTGGCTATCTCTGTCGCTTTAGGTGTTGTCACCAGCCAGAGGAACATTTGTGTCCGTGGAAGCAACTGCTCCCCATCCTGTGCCACCCACCAATGAGCTCTGGAGCTGTCTGAAAACTGCCATGGCCACCAGGACTTCCTCTTTCTCTGCTTCTGGACAGTCTCATGGTAAGACACTGACTCAGACTTTCTTGATCACTTGAAATTTGTGCTTTTCCAAAACATTGAATTAATATAAGACATCAAGAAGGGGGCAGGGATAAACCTATGAAGAAATGAAATTGCTAAAATGCCGTAACACACATGGTAGAAATGAATCACAACCTGAGATTGGAGGAAATCTTTAGGGCAGAGCATCGGGTTTTGTCCAGTTTCTAAACTCCCACTCTTGAAAGGTGAAAGAAAAAAATGTGAATTTGAATGTGGCAGAGAGACCAGCCAGTGTCACCCGGGAAGTTTTTAACAGAGACAATTATAGAGGGTCATGCTCCTTGGAGCACGTGGGGATTTACTGTTTGTGTGTGAGACAGAGATAGGTTTTAAATAAAAAGTACATGCATAACCACCTTTCTCAAGAGAAGACTCCACCTGCAGGTCTGCTGCTTTCTCTTCATTTTTGTGCATGATGTGAGGCTTGACGTGGGTGTGTAGAGTCAACAAGAAATGGAAGGGGGGGAAGCAAAAAAAGAACAGTGGCAAAGACAGAAAACCTAAAGCAGCATGAAACTGGCCTGTTGCATTCCATTCCCACCAGAATGGATGGCCCTGATGTTACCAAGGCTCTTGCCATACAATCCCACTGTGAGTTGGGGACTTTTTCTCCTTTTAATCTTTCCCCTTATCTGCGCTGTTGGTTAGTGGGTTGGTTTCATGTTTTCTTTATTATATGAACTTGGAGAAGTGGATTAATTTTCTGCTTGGTGTTCTCAAAGTATATCCCCTTTTCGAGTCCTCTCATGTCCTTTGCTTATTTCCCTCCCACATTGCTTGCTATTTGTGCTTCAGATGTGTTTGCAAATAAGTTCTGAGTGTTCCTTAGGGTCAAGGTCCCACCTTCCATTATTTGCAACTAGCAGTGTGTCTTGTAGCTAACTGCTCCTGGGTTCTGGCACCCAAAACCTCCAAGGAGAGGAACATTTCCACAGTCTAACCATTCTTCCCCACAGCCAGCGTACCTAGTTCACTGAGCATGTGCAGAAGAGACAGAGGAAGAACTCCAACCTCAGCTTCACCCCCATTTTAAAAGTAGGTCATAAATAGCTAGCAGGATGTGCACTTTGGTTCTCTTGTTCACCAAGGCTCAGATAAGAAGGAGGAAGTAAAACATGCATTATGGGAAGGAACAGGCCTCATCAGAAAGAACAGTGTGCGTTCTTCCCTTGCTATCCTCATCAAGGCATACTTGGAGGTGGCGCAAGATGCCAAGTTCTCAGATCTCTGCATCCGTCTATGTCCTCTATATGCCCTGACTACGTTGAAGAGCACATCTGCACAGAAGGATGTTCAGACAGATAGCGCTGGAAGTAGACAGGATTCTGGGGCCTAGAGAACCTGACTCAGAGATGGGGCTACAATCTCACCCACCTTTTTTTTTTTAAATGCACACACTTATGCATCCTATTCCTGTATCAAGACATAGAAGATTTGCATAACCTCATAAAGTCTTCTTAATCCACTTTCCTAGTCAATATCCCTTTGATAGCTGAAATAACCACTAAGCTTATTTCTATCACGGATTTGTTTGCCCTCTTTAGAACTTCATATAAATGGAAATATTACATTACGTGATTTTGTTTGTGTCTGGCTTCTTTCATCCAGAATGTTTTGCAATTCACCCATGTTTCAGTGTGTATCAGCAGGTCTTTACATTTTATTGCTGAGTAGTAGCCCATTGCATGAATGTGCATGTTTGTTTATCTGATCATGCATTCAGGGACATCTGGATTGTTTGCAGATTTTGGCTTGAACAAGTAAAGCTGCTCTAAACATTTCTTTTACAAATCCTTCTTGAAGTGGTAGTTCATAAAGTTGATATAAATTTAATTTAAGCTACTGTCATTCAGTTTTCCCAAGTAGCTGTACCTCTGTATACTTCTCTCTCCTCTCCAAACTACAGGTACTTGCTTTCCCCTTTCCTCAAGTGTAACATGTGCCTTGATCAAGGTGTCCGTTGGCTTGGATCCTAAAATGCCCAAGTCTTGCTGAAGTGTAGGATCTATCTAGGAAGAGGGACACATCTTGACAGGCTTGGGGTTGAAACAGACTGGGAGCCAAATCTTGATTGTGGAGCAGGATTTACAGAGAATCAGTGGGCCTCTTCTGTGGCAGAGCTGGCCTGAGGTGGGTCAGCAGAGAAGGCTTGCATTCAAAGCTTTATGGGACCTGGGTCATGTTCTCTTGGCAAATTGAGGTAGTAGCTATGCATCTGAGTCACCTATGAACAGCCCATTCTCACAAAACTCTGCTGTCTTCATGTAGTTAAGTGAGTGACTGGAATTAGACAAAGACCATCTGTTGATGTGCTCTTGCCTGCTCTCCTACATCAAACCACTGTACTTAATCTCATGTCAAAATGTACTGCGGTTTCTGAGTTGCATTATTTTTAGTTTCCCTTCCTCTTAATCTACTTCAGAGGATGTTTAAGTTGCCTTTAAGTGATTTATGATTATTAATCACCCAAATCTTTGAAACTTTATACATTGTTGTGTTTTAATAGAAGAAAATTGGTAATGGCCAAAGCCAATTTTTTATGTTTTCACCGAGGAAGAAAGAAGTCTATTAAGCACAACACAGCTAACAGAAATTATAAAATAGTTGACTCTAGCAATAAAATTACCCCTCTATCATTCCAGAGCTTCAGCTGGGAATTGATGACCTATATCAATTGATTAAATACCCTTTGGAAATAATTCATATACTATGTATTCACAGTCACACTTAAAGTTTTTGACATTTCTACATGAGGAAAATACAATTTCGCCAAGCTAATGCTCCAGGACTTGAACCTATACACACTGTTTTCAAAAGAGCATGGGTAACTCTGTAGATAATTTTTCATAAAATAAAGCAGGTTGATCAGATTACAAACTTTGAACTCATGTGAATTTATACCCAATTTGGCTTAATAATATCGTAGTCCTTTCTGTGGTCTTTGAATATGAAAACTGAAGTTTAAAACTGATGCTTTCTCAGTGTGAAGGTCTGTCAACCTCTGCTTCTCCTCCTCTCCTCAAAAATGAAAGGATTTTATGTAATTGTCATCTATCTAATTGTCTTCCTGATAACTATAAATAAATACATTCTCTTTCCACCTTCCTTTTGGGTTTACCATCAAAGCCATCTAATGCTGATATATTAAAGTTCCAGATATTTACAAATATACTGAATTAAATCACAAAATGATTTCAAAGATCACTGAATGCAGCTATGTTACTTTGGATACAGTATTTTGCAGTGCAGATAAAAATATTTCAGCAAGTAAACTGTCAACAAAGGTAATGAGCATCATTTAGCATAAAGATAGATAATTTAACTTTTCCCACTTGTAGGTAGACTATGCCCATTACTAGTAAAGTAATTTGCCTATTTCCCTATTGAGGCCACCAACGGGCATAAGAAAAAAGAGCCAACACTTGGTCTGCACAGAAGAGGGCACTAGATGATGCTGAAACAATTTGTTGAGGAGTTAACTGACTTTTTATTTCACTAAACCAACTCTGGTACTATCTTGTGTCATGTAGACAGAGCTTGAGTATCTTTTGCCCTATTTTGGAACATATCAGCACTGCTTAAGGGTAAAAGTGTGGCTCTTCTCCATATCATGACGGTATATATTTAATAATCACAGTTGCAAGTGAACCAGAGTCATGAGCTCTCTCCTTGCTATCATTTTTCCCCAACAGTATTTTATACAAGAGCTAAGTGGAGAGACTCACAGGAAAAGGAGACACAAAAAACTAGGAAAGAAAACTTGATGCATTATTTAAACACTATCTTTCCAACTCCTTCTCCATTCGTTGGTGAATCCCCTCTGATTTGGGCAATCCCAGCACATTAAGAGAATTTTAAAACACTCTTTCAATGAAATATTTTCGAGAAAATTCAGGCAGCCAGGCAGCCCCTGGGTAAGCTAGAAGAACTATGCTGTTTTCAGAAAGAAGAACTATGCTGTTTCCTTGAACATCTGACTATAGACCACATGATTGTCCATGGCCAGAGCATTTTTCAGACACTGCCAGAAGTATGGGTGAGCCTGTGGATTTGTTGGCCACTCAAGGACAGAACTGCCACAGAGCCTTTTCCGGAGCTGAAGAAACTTGGACTTCATAAGGGGCTTTTCAAGGAATATCAAGATGATCACATCTATTTTTTCATCCATGAGCCTCTGATGGGATAAGTAAAATGCTATTTTAAAATTCTCAGTCTTTGCATACTTTTCTGTCATCACAAACACCGTCTTTTTGCTAAGCTGTATGCTCTGTGAAAGGTTTTCCAGAACTGGTTGCCCTGGTAACCAGTCCCTTTCTTCCAGACATAAATTAAAATGTTTCTCTCTGGGGTCTTCCAATATGGCCACCAACTCATCTAAAACCCACTCTGTCACGGCCGGATCTTTAGTGTCATACACAATAAAAGCATCATAGCAACATTCAGCTGACCGCAGACGCTGATAACCCCATATCTTGGCCTTACAGAAATGATAGATATACCACATATCCCAGAAATACAGGTGACTTGCTGTCATAACCACCATCAGAAAGAGAGCTACAGATATGGAAACTGAAAACAGAATCAGGTTAATCAGATTTAACTCACAGGTATACAGATCCAGAGAGACAACACTCTGGCCTTTGTGTGCGCCTGGCCCTGCACAAGTCACTTCTGTGGCTAGGTAAGGAATAGTCACGTCTGTATGATTAACCCACCAGACAAACCATATAGCATCACAGTTGCAAAGAAACCGATTATGATGTAGAAGCAATGTCTCCAGATTGTTGAGGACATTTTGTGGGAAGCTAGTTTTTTGTATAACCTGGATTTTATTTGAACTGAGATCCAGATATTGCAGCTGAAAAGCATCTTCTAGAAAATATTTTGTCAGATGTCCGATTTGATTCTTCATAAGAATCAGTGTCCTGAGGGTTCTGGAACAGTTGGATAATCTCTCAGGGACAGTTGTCAGTTGGTTGTGACTGAGGTCCAAGAATTCCAGATTTTTTAGAAATGGGAGCTTTCCCCAGTTGAACGTTCGGAGCCCGTTTTTGGCCAAAGAGAGGTTCTTCAGATTTGGAGGCATACCCTCGAAAACACCAGGAGGTAAAAAACTCAGAGAATTTCTAGAGATGTCTAATACTTCTAAGTTCAGCAGATTCTGGAAGAATTTTAAATATCTGTTATCACCATCTCGCCATAAAATATCTAAATGATTTCCTCTGAATTCCAGAATTTTAAGAGATTTGCTCTCCATGGTCCTGCTGGTGGAGGTAGAGATGTCATTGTCATTCATCATCAGTTTCTTCAGAAACTTCAAGTTCTTGGTAAAGTTGAGCATGTGAGTAATTCCTTCTGATTGGAAATAATGGCTGTTACTACTTAAATCTAGAATTTCCAGGTTGTGAAGCTCCTCAAATGCTGTTGAATGGAGTAAATCAAGCCGGTTATTAGAGAAGTCTAAGTATTTCAGCTCTTCTAAATGCTGGAATTCACTGCCATTGAAAGTTTGGCCAATGGCATTTCCTGACAAGTTGAGGCATTTGAGGAAAGAAAGGTGCTGAAAATCAGAGGGCTTGACAAAAAATATATTATTTCTACTCAGGTCCAAGGTCTGCCCATACATGTAGCAATCATTGTTTAAAGCAAAGAAAGAAGACTCATTGTTTTTGACCCTGCAACTCCTTGCATACTCATCATATCTGAAATAATGTAATGTCTCAAGGACCTGGGGACCATTACTTTCTGCAGAAGTTCTGCTGTTAGAGCAGAAGCCAGTTTCACTTGAATCTCCTGAAGGTGATATTTTGTTCATCGAAAGATCTATGAGTTTCAGTCTTTGAAATTGTTTAAATATGCTGAGGTCAGCAATTTTTATAAAGTTAGTGCCTAAATCAAGAACTTCTAGATTGTGAAGATCATGCAAGGGAGAAAGATTAAGACATTTCAGCTCTTTAAAGACATACCCTTTAATTCGCAAAATTTTCAGGTTTTTCAATGAAGAAAATGAATGTGATAGATTTATAGATGCATGATACACCTGAAGTTCATAATTGAAAGACAAATCCAATTGGATGAGGTTGGGGAGAAAATGCAAAAATTTGGCATCCCCAATTTCTTTGGCCAAGTAGTTTTGGGAAAGATCTAGTTCTTTAAGGTTACTCATATGTTTAAACCATTCTAGGGGCACATGCTGGAGCGAGTTACTGTGTAGACGTAATACTTGTAATTCTGTCAGTGAGTCAAAAGCATTTATATGGATCTGCAGTGCAGAATTATTCTCACAGGGTGTGCAAGGAAATGGGACATTATAACAACGAGGGCAATTTCCACTTAGGTCAAGTATTTGCAAGTGGTTGAGGTTATTAAAATCATCTTTTTGGATGTTTGTGATTATGTTGTTGTAAAGATAGAGTTCTGTTAAATTAGACGGCAAAAGTGTGGGGACAGCTGTGATGTTGTTATCTTTCAGTGAGAGCACTTTTAAATTTCTCAGGTTTAGGAAGGCATTTTTTTCAATTGAATAGGAAACATTACAAGGATTGCGATAATAACAGTTTTGGCCAAGATAGAGCATTTCTATGTTGACCAGTTCTGTTAGATTCTTCTTCATGATGAAAAAGATATTGTTGGCTTCAAGGCTCAGAAGCTGCAAGCTGGGTGGAAGGTCCTGAGGTATCTGTAGAAGCTGGTTAGCATCCAGGTAAAGGGCTTTTAAATAAGTGAGTCTACTAAAGCTTCTAGGTTTAATCTGCAGCCTCCTGGTACACACGTTATTTTTGGCCCCCATTCGAGTAGGTACACAGTTGCACCTGAAATCAACCTCTACCAGATGATCCAGGTTGTGGAAGGAGTCTGGGGAGATGTTTGGTATGCGGTTAATAGTGAGGGTGAGGTTGGTGGCATTGGTGGGAATACCTTTAGGGATTTCTGTCAAGTGCTTATCGGTGCAGTCCACGAGCACATGGGACTTTGAAGGATCCAGACTGATATCACAGGGCAGGGTTTTAGGAAACCATCTAGCCTCAAGGAGTTTGGAAATTAGTATCATGCTTAACAGGATAAAAAATTGTCTTTTCGGTGTACACATTGGAAGCCCCTGAAAAACACAAGAAAGGACAAATTATTGTTCTAAAGTATACCAAAAATTAGAATTCAAAAGTTCCTTCCTTTGCTGTCCCTCTTTTGCTGCACTATAGAAGTAAACAACTCAGGTCTGGTTCTTAATGGTCTAAACAGCACTTTCAACCCTGCAATTTTGCCAGTCACTGAGCTTCTACTTCATTTAGATATATGTTTATTTTTTAGCACCTTAGCTTTCTAGCAAAAGAGCTTTTAATGTGTAGAAGCAGCATTTTCATACTTGCTATTGTGTAGCATGCTACCATGGAAAAGCCACAAATTAGCTGCCAAAGTCTGAACTTTGAAGGTTCAGGGAATATTTACAAACACAAGTACACTTGGGAAGAATAATGCACTAAGATTTTAGTAATTTATGTTTATTTGCTAAGCCTGTCCTGGTACATATCACTGGGGTATCTCATAATATTCAAGCCTCATAATATTTTAGTTGGAAAAGAAGAGATCCATGATCTCTACATTGCAAATTAAGACATGGCTTTGCAATATTAACTGGCTTTCCTAAGATCACCCACTTAACAAATAGCACTTGATTATCAAGCATACACTCCTGCCATCTTGGCATTGCCCTTCTATAAGGTGGTTCTCGGATTGTTTTGGGAAGTCAACTCAGAAATCATCTCCAAGATGATTTGTAGATGTGTTGTTTTCTTACACACATTGAGTTTCCAGTGCATAAATTTGGAGAGAAGATGGTAGTAGCAAACATTGAAGTCTGAGACCTGTAACCACATAATTGATCAAGTGACATCCTTATAGGACTGAGAGGTCAGCTGTTAATAATTATGCTAAGACTGTATACATAAACCGAGAGTCTCTAGGAAAAATGGGACCTATAAGAACCTACCCAGAAAGGTGATTCTTGGGAATCTAGATTAAGCATGACAAAGGAACCCTGGAAAAAAAGGCCTTTAAAGAGAATTTATGAGAAATGCCAAAGAGCTTCGCTATTCACCATATTACATTCAACTAGCCATGCCTTAGAGGGTGGTTTAACCATGGGCTTGCTGTCATGTTTCAGGATTTCTATCAATATTTTACTTCAGAACACTGGTTTTCATTTAACCAGGACTTATACAAAGAAAGCTCCAACCTGTGTTTTTACAATAGGTGTCTAGCTCAATTAATGATTTTGTCCTCCCAGCAGACAGAATCTATCAATCATGTTAATATCTAATAGACTACAGGTCTACTCACCTTAATTTCTCTAACATGAGATAAATAAACGGAAATTTTCCCCAGCTTTCTTTTTCTCCAATGCAAGATATCTCAGAAGGATCTCAAAGGAATTTTTCATTCACCTTTACATTTGCCTAGAGTTTGTTGAAGTTAGGTACACGAAATTTTGTTTTTCTTCTTCCACTATCTTGGCTTTTCCTTCCCATCATATTAAGACCATTCAGAGTCCAGTTGACTTCCTTCATCATCTTTCTCAACATCCTCTTGCTTTACCAATTTAGCTGACACAGTACCAGCTGGGATTAGTCTGCCCTTGCTCTGGTCAAAAGCCTTGTCTCTAGGCTGGCACTTTTCCAATCCATGTTATCTATCAAGCTTCTCAAACATTAATCATTCTCTTGCTCAAACATCTCTAAAATGGGTTTCTTTTTGTTTTCTCATTTACAGTATGAACTCAGACTTTTTCATCATCATGAGATCTCAAGTCTTCCATAATTTGTCCCTGTCTGCTTGTGGGAGTTTACCTGACACTAGTGCTAAATCCAAGGTTCTCAACTTACTTGGAATACACTTTCCTACCATTTTCACCCACTAGAATTCTAGTTACCATATTTTTTTTTGGTAAAGGGGATCCAACTTGAGTCCTTGTGCTTGTGAGGCAGGCAGTGGAACCACTGATCTAAATCCCCGGCCCAGAATTCTAGTTATCTTTGAAAGCTATATTTGTCTAACTGGAGCACTCAAATGCTTGTGAATATATGGCAATGGGAAGCCAAAGGTAAATATGGCACATCTTCCTAAAGCCTCAATTCTAAGATTTAGGGAAAATATTTGCTATTCAGTCCATAGGGAGAGAATGGGTCAAGAAAAGATGAAGGGCTTTAGAAGAGAAAAAGGAGCAAAGCAGAGTGAGCCCTCGTATAGGTCCCAATAATAGGATTCCAGATCCTGGAGCATAACCTTAGGTATGCTTCTGTCAGAAGACATGATGAGTGCATGCAGCTCACCATCAGAAGGCTGCTGCGGTAATGTTGCTAAGAGTGATGTTGCAGACCAGGGAGGTGAGCTGTGTTCCAGAGCAGGCAGTGTGGATAAAAGACTATCATGAACCCACTGCTCTCTTCTCATCCCATTCCCATGGACCTATATGAGAACCTAGGCAGAAGTGGGAGTATCCCTGAATTAACTGGTTTAAAAACAGGAAGTGATTGGGACAGGGATCATAAAACTGAGATTTCTAGGATATTTAAGTATTTTGTAGATTGGGGAAAGTGGAGACTCTAAGGAAGTTTGATTGTGGGAAAATAAAGTGATACCGTAACCAATGGCACGATAGCAAATGTTTAACCACTGGCTTTCCTGCTCTCCCCCACACCCCTCCAACAAAACTCTTTCATGTGTTAAGTGCTGGTTTGTAGTATTTATCAAATTCCCTAGCATAAATATTCCTGCCATGGCCAATTTCAAGCTACCAGTGTGACTTCACTGAATGCAGAGCGGGGAAGAGATACACAGAACTGCTGCTTCTTTTCTTCTCTCTTTTTTGCTTCCTGCACTTTATTTATTATTCATACATGTTTGTAGTAAATAATGATTACACTGATCATGGGAGATGTGTACATGTACACAGTATATCGTAATTCTTTTCTTTGCCCTCTTTCTCTCCTCTCCCTCGGACGCTTCTTCCCTTCCACATTTACAAAAGCTCTATCTCCATTTTTTCTTTAAATATCTTTTCCATTAAGGAGCAGAATGGGGGAGAGATAATAGGAAGGAGGAAGAACTTGTTCAAATGGGAAAGTGAATAAGATAACTCCTCTTAGAAGCCTGTATTTGAGTACAGACAATGCACTATTGGCATTTTTAGCCTTTATGTAATGACATATCATACATTCGAATGCAAACTTTATTAGAAAACAAATTTTCTTATTTCTAAATTGTCTCACATGTGTCCACAGTTCCTCTAGTTACTGCCACCTCCCTATTCCAATTAGTCATTTGCTCTCACCTGGACTACTGCAATGGCCTCCAAACTGTCTCCCTGCCTCACCTTCTTCTGTACAATTCATTCATCTATCAGCATCAGAGCATTCTCTATAAACACGAATCAGATCAACTACATTGATCTGCTACACTTTGAATGAAATTCAGTCTTTCTTCCATTGCTTATATTGTGCATGTTCTGACTCCATTCTCCCTCTCAGGCCTTGAACTGTCTTTCCTCTCTCTTTAGCTACATGGCTCCATCTGGCCTATTTTCTGTTCTGCATTTACCATATGCTAGGCAGCATTCTCTATAAACACGAATCAGATCAACTACATTGATCTGCTACACTTTGAATGAAATTCAGTCTTTCTTCCATTGCTTATATTGTGCATGTTCTGACTCCATTCTCCCTCTCAGGCCTTGAACTGTCTTTCCTCTCTCTTTAGCTACATGGCTCCATCTGGCCTATTTTCTGTTCTGCATTTACCATATGCTAGGCACTAGGCATTAATCTGTAGGGCTACATGTGTTCTGAATTTTAAAAGTTTTCAGATTTCCAAGGGTAACATGCACATACCTTGTATTATATAATACCAGTTGGAGCTTGGGCACAGAGTTCTGCAATGGTATACAGGATTTTCCACTCTGGGTGGGATTTTTTGTCAAAACAAAAACCAAAGCAAAAGAATAACTGGATCTTTAGTTTAGATAATTCTCCTCCAAATGCACTAGAGCATGTCATCTTGCCATCAAGTGAGGGCAATGCTTTCATATTTGGGATTTTAGAATTGCAGGCCTCTCTATTTGCATTTCATGGATGAGACAACTGAGCCACAGGGAGGTATATACGATCTGTAATAGACTGCTTTGCTTTCAGAGCATGTAGCACAATCAGAAATTATCTTGCTGATTTATATCCTCATTTAGTCACTGTCTGACCTGCAGGAGAATGTATGTTCCAAGAGATCTGGGTTTTGTGTGTCCTCAGGTAAAAAATACCCAGACTTAGTACTACATTATGTTTGGTGAACACATGAATGAAACAATGAATTCATGCACAAATGAATAGTGAAGTAAAACAAAATACTTTAAAAATACTTCTCCTCAGAGAAGTTTTTTCAGGCTACACTCAGACTCGGGAAGGGTCCCTCCTGTCCCTACTACAAGAAGCCTTCTGTGATCAAACCAGGAAGAAGTACTCCCTCCTTCCTCTCCTCTCCTGCACTAATTATACCTGAGGCCATGGAATAAACACTGGGATAAGGGTTAGAAGAACTGAGTTCTAGCCCCGGAGAAAGCATCTCACAAGAGAATGAAACACACCATAATAGCAAATGGGATATACCAAAGAGCCAGCCACCTCCCCCACCCCTGATACATAGTCACCAAGACAGTGGACCTGAACCAGACAATTCTCCAATACTTCATTAAATAGAAATTGTACCAAGTATCTCATGAGAAAAAATTTCATAATAAATATCAGAATTCTACTGATTCATATTCATTCTCTCACTGAGAAGTACAAATTGGATACCTACCAGGGGCAAGAGACACATCATCTCTGCCCATAAAGAGTGCAAAATTTTTGGAAGAGAGCAAACAATATGGAAATCTAAAATACAATATAGAAATCCAGTTTCCTTCCAGACAAGACACTGATGATCATATTATGTATATCTTAAATGTATGTTGTTCTTATTTTATGAGGTAGTTTCTGAGAATTTCAATTAAATCTTTTCATTATTATAAGAGTCCAGAGATTGCTATACATCTCCTGGTATCTTTTCCTCATG